TTTGACAAGCGCTCTTTAGGGCGCGCTTTAGTGCATATTTTAGGATGATTTTGGATGTATTTGGGGCCGTTTTGGCCGATTATTACCTTGTTATGCTTACGTCCCCTATATTACGTGCTTCACGGGTTTTCGGTTTGTTTTTGATGTGTTTTCAGGTAATATCAACCGAGTTTAGTCGGATCCCGAGCCCTTGATGCGTAACCGAGCTAGCCTTGACCGAAGTCCGAGGAGTTAAGGAAGTTAAAGTGTCGTGCATTGATTACATAGCACAGGCAGCACGGCCGTGTTACCATAGGCACACCCGTGCTGGCCTATGAGCAAGCAGCCCCAGGCAAGGCAGCACGGCCGTGAAAGCCAATAGCACGGCTGTGTCAGTATCCACGCACCAGCACGGCCGTGCAGGCCATTAGCACGGCCGTGCAAGATGTTGCCCGTGCCCGTATCAGCTTCAGCATATTCAGCACGACCATGTCATTTTTAGCACGGTCGTGCCATATATAGCACGACCGTGCCAAATTGAAGAAGAAATCCGGTTTAGCTACTGACAAGCTAACACGGCCGTGCCATATGTAGCACGGCCGTGATGATCCAGGGTTAACCGCGCACTTGACTTCTCCGAATTAGAAGGCGTATATAAGGCCTGACTTTAAGGGGCGTTTTTAGACAGTTTTAGAGATAGTTTTTGAGAGTCTTGGTAGAGAGCTATTGGAGAACGTTCTTAGTATTAGAGATTCATTAGTTTTCTTAAAGATTATTCTAGTGATTTTAGTTTTCTTGGATTGATTTGAAGCAAGATTTGTGAAGATTCTTTGTATTATCCATTGCCGATGGATATCAAAGTTCTAAACTTTTCCATTGATTCGCATCAATACAATTGGTATTATTCATTCTTGTTTATTAATCTAGCTTTATTATTCCTTAATCAGAATTTATGTTTAGATCTATGATGTTTATGGAATCTATTATTGCTGTGATTATGAATAAGTGTGAGTAGTTTCCTAGCTAGGGTTTCGGGATGAAACCCGGCCTAGGTAATCTACGTAATTAAGGTTTGATTTTGATAAACGGATTGTGATTAAATTGATTATATGCGATTGCATGTTAATTCACTATAATAGGAGTAGCTAACCTAGAATCTTGAATTTGATTGCATGTTATTCTTGGTTTGAACAAGAGATTGTGAATTGAGTATTTCATTATTGACTGTGGTTTGATTATGTATCGAGTAATGTTAAGTGCATGAGAAATCCAAGCTTGGTATTGCCCGTTGTCTTCCTATCGCACGATATTGATCAGACATATAGTCTTTGCATATCCTGTTTGTCTCTGTGATTCCTTGTTGCTTAGTTACCAATGGTTAGGCGGATTCCCGTTCTCCCTAGTGTCTTAGGTTATTGATTTATTCCATCTTATTAGTAGTATTTTAGAACACCATTTTCCATTGATTTCGAACTAGCTTAGGTTTAAGATTGATTTGCAATTACTCTCGTTCCTCGTGGACCGAACCTTTATTTTCCACTGTACTTGGTTATAGGGTGTTCGTATAATTATTGTTTGATTGAGAGTTAGATTGTAGCGACCGATTTAACCCTTGTCAATTGTAGCATATACGTGATGAGATTCATGTTTGACAAAAAGAGTCGTTGTACGGACACATTAAAGCTTAATGAGGTAAGCCATTGACTTAGTTAAATTGCTCTTTTCATGTGATTTCAATCCTTAGCCTCCGAAAACTAAGTAATATTGACATGTTATGAGAAAGAATGAGTTTATTTGATAAGAAATGTAGAAAATAGGCAAAGTAGAAGTCATATAGGCCTTATTTGGGCCATTTAGGATGAAAATGGGTCCTAAAACCTAGTAAATTGCTCTTTTCATATGATTTCAAGCCATAGTCACCTAAAACTAAGTAATATTGACATGTTATGAGAAAGACTGAGTTCATTTGATAAGAAATGTAGAAAATAGGCCAAGTAGAAGTCAAATAGGCCTTATTTAGGCCATTTTGGATGAAAATGCGTCCTAAAACTTAGTGAATTGCTCTTTTCATGTGATTTCAAGCCTTAGACGCCTAAAACTAAGTAATATTGACATGTTATAAGAAAGAATGAGTACATTTGATAAGAAATGTAGAAAATAGGCAAAGTAAAAGTCATATAGGCCTTATTTGGGCCAATTTTGATGGAAATGCGTCTTAAAACCCTTAAATTGTTATATTCATGTGATTTCAAGACTTAGCCGCCTAAAACTAAGTAATATTGACATGTTATGAGAAAGAATGAGTTCATTTGATAAGAAATGTAGAACATAGGCAAAGTAGAAGTCATATAGGCCTAAGTAATTAATTTTTTACCTAAGTGAACTTGTAAATACATGAGTTTGACTAGTACTTGCTTGTTTATGCTTACAAATAATAGAAACATTCTATATATTTGAGGCACTTTTAATAAATCAATTTTGGTATTTAATTTTTTAAAAATGTATTTATCCATGCATAACCTAAGTAATTAATTCTAACATAATTTTGGTTTATTCCAAGTTTTGCAAGGTACAAAGGGAAGGTTCGTTGACAAGTAAGGAACTTAATGAAGTTCGAGACATGTAGGCGTCTTTCATCACCTTTAATTTGTAAATGTCATTTCTATTTGAATTTAGATTTTGTTAACTTTTTAACTACATTACTAATTAGTATTGTTTGTAAATATGACACTTCTTTTTTTTGGAGGAATTATAAATATGACACTTCATTGTATTGCATTTGGGATTATTAATATCTATGTATTGTTGCCATTATTTCAATTTAGAAATTATTATTATTATTATTATTATTATTATTATTATTATTATAATATTAAAAATAATAATAATAATTATAATTATAATTATTATTGTTATTATAATATATTATAATAATGATAGAATTAATGTAGGATGTACAAGTTTTTTTATTATTATTATTAGTTTTAATATTATTATTATTGCCAAAAAAAAATATAGTTTAATGGCACCGGTTAACCGATGCCAATTGTAATTAACACCAAAAGAAAAAAAGAGCGGCAATTGTTTTTTAGCACTGGTTATTCGGTGCCAAAAAAATTAATTCGTACTGGTTAACCGATGCTAAAGCTTAGAATTGTCACTGGTGCTAATGTTTCTATTATTTGGCATCCCTCAAATCTAGACCGGTTTAAAACCGATGCTACAGGGGGATTTTGAACCGATGCTCTTTTATATTTTTCTACTAGTGTGAGGAACATTTTGACCACAATAAACTGCAAAAATAAACTAATTGTGAAGAACATCTTGACCACAATAAACTAACTGCATAAAAAAAACTGATTTTTGTGCGCCCAACAGGGCAAGTTCACCCAGTGGCTTGGTGAAATAAAGATCATATTTCATGTTTTTTTTTGCGCTTCTATCAGGTTTATTTTTTGGGCTAATTTAAATTCAAGGCTCAATTTTGAATGGTTAGGTTTCAGTCCAATCCCAATTGTTGTTGTGAGGGATCGATCACACGGTCCTTCCTACCAAGTGTTAGGGTGGACAAAAAAACCGTAACCATTAACCGGTATAACTGGCTCGTTTAAACGGTTAATTTACCTAACCGTTTAAATTAAAAGATTACGATTAACCGAACCGTTAAATATAGCGGTTAACGGTTACAGTTACGGTTACAATTTTAAGCAAACCGTTAATGGATGGTTAACCGTTAAAATAAATAAATATTTTTTTATTTAATTTTTTTAGGGAAAATATATATTGATGCAATTTGATCTTCTAGATTGTTTGTCTGCCAATATGCCATGGTCTCAATTTGAAGATGACAATTTAATATGTGTAATATCATTAGATTGTATATCTTGTTATGCTTTTAAAAAAACTTAGTAATTAAAACTTTGTAATGTGTTTGTTTTATCAGTTTGTACATACTCTTAATTGGAACATAAATTTTATTGTTTTTTTTTAGTTTGTATTAAAATACAATGTTGATTTAAATTTATTAACGGATAGTGGTTAACCGTTCCTAAACGGTATGATTACGATTCGTATTTTTGAGTAATCGACATAACGGTTAACCTATTGACCTATTATGCCCAGCCCTACCAAGTGTAGCCCCAATGACCACTGTACCAACAATCAATAATTGGTCGTATTTCACGTTTTTCAAACTTCTCTATCAAGCACAAAACATGTGAAAATAGACACGAGGTCTACACATATAAATGAAACTTCATTATTATGGTAATTGATTATGGGAAATCATTGCTAAAGTATAACAGCCAACAGCATAACATCATCTTCTTAGTTGATCAGTAACAGAATTACTTACACTTCAGTATGTTGTCATATACAATTATACATAAATTGATGAGGGGGGTCGTGGTTTGTATGAAAAAAATCTCGACTTTGTCTTTATTAGAGTTATGGGAATTATATAGTGATACTAGTGTATAATTGTATAACCTGTTGATTGATGAAATGAAATGAACTGATGGAAATTTTTTCATAATTACAATAACATTGCACTTTCTTCTTCTTATTTCAGTGCCTTAGTAACATGGTTAGAGCCAAAAGAGTTTATCTACTTGATTAATATATAGAAACATTTCAAGAGGGAATTTCATGACAAATTTACAATACACATGTACGATTGAAATGATTGAATATACAATAAACAAGTATATATTTGCGTTTTCGCATTAGAAATTCCCCTAATGGTTTTCTAATATTTACGTTTTTCTTACCATTATATATATATATATATATATATATATATATATATATATATATATATACGAGGTGGTTCTGCTGAAAACAAGGCTTATGCTAAAAACAACAAATCTCAACCATTCATTATTAGCACAAAAGATCAGACGGTTTAAAAGCCCTAAGATCATTCCAACCTTACATATAATCAATTCAACCGTTTTAAAGGTCACTACATGATAAAATAAGGTAACTTTATCTAAATTTACGACATTTACATAAAGTCACTATATATAAAAATAACGTAACTATATTAATTTTGACGACATTTACACAAAGGTCATTATATACAAAAATAAGGTAATTGTATCAATTTTTACAACATATATTAAGGTCACTATATACAAAAGTAGGGTAACTATATTAATTTTGACCACATTTACATAAAGGTCACTATATAAAAAGATAAGATAACTATATTAATTTTGATGGTAACCTCCAACCATAGACAAGCAACACCCAATCTACGAGCCACTTGGATTCCATACCTTGCTGTCGTGGCTTCTGCATCCTCCATATTCCACCTTCCTATTTTGATGTCCTGCGTAAAACAATAACTATTTTACACAACTATACCAATTTATTTTGCCGTCTAGCAATGATCCAGCTGATCAATTTTGTAGTTTGAGCATCAATTATATAACAAGCATCATTGAATAAAACTTTAAATGAGTACTATGACAACATTAGACTTCGACACAATAGTTGTTCTTAGTTTCCTCATATAATTAGTAATGCAATACCTAGCAACTAATCTCATTAGTGTGGTAAAATTAGTCAACCAACACAGAAATAATAATAGGCTCAGTTTGTCTATTCATTACTGCTTAAAGCAACAGGACATCATAATAGCTATGTTTTAACAGTACATAATTTACCAAACCTAGGCGTGTTAATCTCTCTCCTCCTCCTATACTCTATGCAATATAATGATTTTGAGGAATTTTTGATGCCCTAATATCACTAATTAATAATACTATCCAATTTTACTCAAATCAAGCTAAAATCAAACATAAATCAAGCTAAACTACAGCTACAATTGATGCTCACTGACAACAATACCAAATACCAACAATGTTTATTAAGATCATGCAAATTATTAAAAAAACAAAAAATCAAACCAAAACAAAATCATTATGAAATTAAAAAAATAAGATACCTCAAATAAAACGGACTCAAATTCAGGTTTATTAATGTAAGAACGAAGAGCATCAACAATCTCAGTCTCACGTTCTTTAACATTTTTGACAATACTCTTCAACTGAGTAACTCTCCAATCGTAACTCCGAGTTTTACCGCTCACAAAATTCCGCCAGAGCTCTGTCACCATCTCCGCCGCATCTTCGCCGCCGAACGTCGTCGGAACCTCCATTATCAACCTCAGCTCGAAGAAACAGAAATTTAAAATAATAATTAAAAAAAAAGCGTGATTACTGTATTTCTTAGAAAAGAAGGGAAAGGAACGAGTTGTTTGTAGTGCCTCGAATTCGTATAAACTTCAGCTATTTTGATGTAGCTGATGGCATAATTGGATTGATAATGACAAGCAATCAGATAAAATTTGCCAAAAATTACAAAATTAAACAAAAAACAGAAGCAAAGTACTCTAAAAATTACACAAATCGGAAACAAAAAACTCAAGAAATTACTCAAAATGGCAAATATCAAACGAACATAGCAAAAAAAAAAAGTACCTGATATATTTGTGAAATGATCAAATTAGTACTTACCTTTCCATTTCGTAACCAAGTTCAGTAAGATTCGATTGCTCATCGCTTCGTTTCATTCGGATTTCACTTCGATTTGTTGCAAAAATCTAGGGTTTCATTGATGAAATGCCAACTTCAATTGTTCGATTTGCCTTGATTTTTGCAAGTTTATGAACAATGTTAGCAAAATTTAGGCGAAAATCGCAAGAAATTTGTTGAAATTGTGTTCGACTTAGAGCAATTATGGTGGTGTTTGGAGAGAAAATCTGGTGATTTTAGGAGAGAGAGATTACAGGGAAGTTTGGGTTATTTTTTAGGAGAGAGAAAGTAGATGATGAGGGGTTATCTACCATTTGACTTTTCAAACTTATATATCTTAATTTCTATACGCATAAAAATTATAAAAGTTTGATATTAATAAAATATACAACGAGATGATTCTAACAAGACTCCACATAAATATATTATCACTTATAGATTATCGAGAATTTATGGTCAAAGTTTTATAAGTTTGACCCATAAAATTGTAATGGGGCAAAAAATAAGGGACGGAGGGAGTAGTTTGTTATCCGAAAAATAGAGTAAATAATAGAGGATATAATCTCATCCGTTGATTAAAATTCAATGAACTAAATTATCTCTTTTTAGTTTTCAGCTTTAGACTTGTTTTTACATAATCCATTATACCATACTACAATTTGAGAAAAAACCGTTGTAAGATTATACAGGGGTAGTGTACATACAATACCACAATCACAAAATCTTTATGTGTTTTGAATCTTTGTCAATATAATAAGAAGATAAAGTCGAAGCAACTCTAACTTTTTACTTGATAAAATCTTTATTAACAGAGTGATAGTTTAGGGGCAAAAAGTATATTTGAATGGTTCTAAAATTATGAACCCTACAATTTTAAAGGCAGATAACTTTTTCGCCTACAAATAGTACAACTTACGAATTTTTCATCATATACCCCTGAATTATTTTTTTTATTCACCAAATACTCATAAAATTTTCAAATTCACTATATACTCACGAGTTTTACAAAAATTTCACCAAATGCCCTTAATGACTAACGACGGTTAACTCCGTTAGTCATTAACATTAATTATGCCACGTGGCTGCATTTTATTGGTTGTTTATCAAATTAGTGAATTAAACATTTTTTTGAAAAAATAAAAAAAAACTTAAAAAAAGAAAAACCGCCCAACCACCCCTTTCTACTACCACGCTGCAAGCCATCGCCGGCGACCGGTCTGCGCCCTCCAGTCGTCGACAGCTGTCCTTCATCCACCCCGGCTACCCTATCCCCGAACCACCCCCAAAAATCAGACAATCACCCCCGATTCCAAACCACCTAAGCCAAAAATCAGGCAACCAACCCCGATTCCAAACCGCCTAAGCCAAAAACCAGGTGATTTGGGTTCGTCGGCGTGGGGAGGGGGTTTGGACGTCGGCGTTGGGGAGCGGCGGGTTTTTCGAGGGAGAGATAAAGGAATTTTTTCAATTGGGGAGAAGGTGGTTCAGGGATTGTCGGGCCTGGGGCCGCCGACAGGTGGTATTTCGGGGTTTATTGTATCTTATGGGAGAGTTACGTCACCAAGACTAGATTCCCTGTTGGTTGTACCTGCAAAACAATGGAAGCTCCTGTTGGTAGGAGTTTCGCCTCCGACGATCAAGTTAAAACCGGTCGAACTAAGGTAAAAAGCACGGAAAGTAAAAGTAGATCTTCTCGGATTCCGAGATCGGGTGTTTTCTCTGATGTGAGAGAATTAATTGTGTTGTAATAAAATGAACCTGTCCCAAAATAGGGTAAATCTCCCTATTTATAGGGTCATTGGTAAATGTTCCCTTACATAGGTTATTCTGACCTAGATTTGGTGGGTTGCGCCGCTTTGCGGCCTTCTTGGGAATTGGGCCCTAAAAGTCGTCATTTCCTGATGAGTATATGTATGCCACGTGTCAAATCAAGGTTAGTCCTAGGGTGACACGTGTCATACTCTCATTGGACCACGTGGCGGGGTAAAAATCCCCAAATCATTAGCCCCTCAAAGGGATGACGTGGCACGCCATGTTACGCCTATGACAAGTGTCACGCATGCATGGGTGAATAGTGTTTTTTTTACTATTTACCTTCTGGAGTAAATTCCAGAATTTCCCATGAAACTTTTACCCCTCTATAAATAGATTTCACCCCCCTCATTTTCGCATATTCACGAAAATTCTTCGAGAGAGAATCTTTGACTTTTGAGAGAATTTGCTTATTGTCGCTTGAGTTCGATCTGCCTGCATCACAGCCGACCCAAGAAGTTTCAATAGTACCTTGAATACAAGGTAACCGTCTGTTCTATCTCCTTCTTGTTCTTTATTTTTTCGTCTATGTTTGTTATTTCTTGTTTTCTAAATGGTTTCACAAACACACACGGCACGACCTAGGATAGCTGTCAGCCGGTCACTAGGGACAGTTAAATCTAGGACTAGGAGTGTCGCCTACCCCCACTTGGACTCCCTTCTACAAACATCCCCAAATTCGACTGCTTCTGTGTCTGTGCAGGACACTATAGTCAGAACTAAAAGGATGGCCCAGGGCCCCATAGATGGTGTTGAAGAAGACGACACTATTAGGGTGCTAAGAAGTGAGGTTTTTTATCACCCATCCGGCACTCCAAGCACGCCGGATGACTCCATTCTGAAGGAGTCAGATGATGGGTCTAACAATAGTGCATCCGGCTCTAAACAAGGGTCATCCTAATCGAATGTTGTTTTAGGCGGTTTAAATGGTAAAACTGAGCCGCCTGTGGCCCATGAAGAGCTATAAATTTCTGAGTCTGCCTTTGACTCTAAGGAGGAGTACGCCTCTCTTGGAAGAGGGCAAGGGGAGGCTTCTTCTTCTACTCAAGAAGAGTTCACCCCCTACTTCACCCATGTCTCTACTGAAACTCAGAGAAACATGCTCAAGAAGCTAAATGACTTTTGGGCGGCCCATGTTATGGGGCCGGATATAAAATCCATGTTCCCGACTTGGATGATACGGTCGTCTGGCCGTTTCAACAAAGCTATGGAGATAAATGCTTCGGATGGTACGAGGCAGCTATACAGTCGGGCTTAAGGTTCCCCCTAGATCCGAATGTAGAGAGAATCTTGGATGGGTACCGCCTGGGGGTTTGGCAGCTTGCCCCCAATTCATGGGTGAACATACTTGGGTATGTCACCGCCTGTAATATGCAAGGGGTAGAGCCGAGCTTCGAGGCCTTTGCTTCAATGCATTATCTGAGCAAGGCTCCTAAGGCAGCCGGCTCCGGATGGTACACCCTGACTAGCAACAAGGGGTTTATGATGACCTTGGGCAAGGAATCAAAGTGGAAGGACTGGCGAAATAGATTTTACATTATCGCCCCACCAGACACCTGAAGGACCCAGAAGTACAACTTCTGGAACCAAAACTCATACATCTTGGGCTAGAAAGTTGTCCTCCCGCCTATACCCGAGGAAGGTTGGGACCAAATACTGACATCTGGGCTGTTTAAGGTCACCACTAGAGTCGTTGAGGGAGGGAACGAAAGGGAGATAGTTCCCAATCGTTACATCCCTAGATTTGAGTGGCTGAGGGACGACACTTATCATGTCACCTGCGGCCTTAGTGCAGAAAAATCCAGAAGTAGCTGACCGGATGTGTATGTTTAGCAAATTGTCTACTTAATTAAATTTTTTTATTTTTTTTATTTTTTTATTATTTTTTTAATAACTGACATTCGGCCTTTTTGCAAAAGAAGCAATGAAGTAGCTCTCTACTACCAAAAAATCTGGTAGCTCAGTCGCCGCCTACCGCTAGATGATCCGGCAAAAAAGCTAGATCTTTAAGAAATATCAGGCAGAGCATTTAAGTTTTTAAGAAACTTCAACTCCTGTAGACAGGCGGACTATTTTGCCTTGCACTAACAATATTCTTTAATTTTCAGGAAGGATCAACAAGGCCGCCTATTTCCCGCAATTTTGGCGATAAGCCACTAAAGCGTCCATTTGCTGAAGAGGATCGGACGCCCTCCAAATCGAGGAAATCTATGGCGTAGAAAAATCTATCTACTACCAAGTCTGGAGATGATTCTCATCCCTCTATTGGCGGCAAGTCGCTTGCTTCTCTAGAAGCACTTAAAAAACCGGACGTCCCTCAGACGTCGAAGAGTGGCAAGCCATTCACTGTTGTTGTCGGTTCAACAGAAACAGGTGGACATGCCTCAGGCGGACGCAAAGACAAGCGTCCTCAAGACTTGGAGTTGAGCTCCCAGGTATTAGTGTCTTCAATCCATTACCTTACCCTAGTAGGGTAAAGTCTTATCAGTAGTCGCCCAGCAGCTTTGAAGACACCCGGTCCATAGGCCAAGCTTATGTCAACTTCTCACCAAGTGTTAAATGTACAGATGCTACCCAAAGGCCAGATATACAATAGTTCACTAAGAACATGCTGAAGGACGTCTCTACTGAGGAGAAGGATTCCGTGAGGGGGGTTGTCACCCTCAACATTGATGCCATTTTGTCCCTGCTAGCTGAGGTGACCTGTTATTAAGTTAGAAAAATTTAACTCCTCTTGTGTCGTCTGTTTATTGATGATTTTCTTTGCCGGATACAGGACATGCTGCGGGTGAATGGGCTCAAGAAGCCGTTCTTAGACAAATAAAAAGAGGTAAAGAGTGACAAAGAAAGGCCCGCCTCTGTTCTAAACCGAGCCATGTATGACATATGTAAAAATGAAGCAGTGACCTATGATATCCTGCATTCTTAGGCGAAGGCCAACTTGTAGGTCAAGCAGAAGCTAAAGGCAACCCAGAAGAGGGTATCTGAGCTTGAGGGAAAAATGAAGTCATCCAAGGCCGAGCTTGAGAAACTTGGGGATGTCAATAGGGATACAGATAGTCTCCACCGCTAGAACGAGAGTCTGAAAAGGAAACTCGCCAACCAATAGCTGAGGAAGAAGTACCAAGCCAGGGCCGAGGAAGAAAAGAAGCAGCTGGTCGAGGAGAATGAGGCCGACTACGCCATCTGGATGAGAATGGCTTGGAAGGCTTCACATCCTAACGACGACTAATCCGTCTGAGAGTATCGTTTTGAGCAGCCACTGACGAGCTTGACGAGGAGCGACTGCAGGCGGAGAAAAAGGGCGAGGCTGATGGTGATAAAGATATGGCTGAGAATGAGGACCTCGAGCATGATGGGGATCATCTGACTGATGCTGGTTAAAAGCCGGATGGGAATGTAGAAGAGTCCTCCCCTCAAGATGATCAAGTGTAAGTCTTTCTTTGGCCGAATGGCCTGACAATTACTTTTCCAGCCTGCGTGCCGA